GGGAGGGAGGCGATGTCCCGCCCCGCTCTGCGCCTCCCGGCCTCCTCCCTGCCCGGCCCTGCAGCCCTGCGCTCTGTCTTCTGCAGGTTCGTGATCTCCTGCACCCCCAGCTGGTTTTGGGGGCCCGTGGTCACCCTGGAGGACTGCCTGGCCGCCTTTTTTGCCGCTGATGAGCTGAAAGGTGAGGGCCAGGCTGGCGGGAGGAGTCAGTCTGCTCTGATTTGCCTTCCTCGGTGGCGAATGTGAATGTTGTTTGTTACATGCATCGATAGCATTTTCTCAAAATGTCCTATCCCGCTCCTTTTCTCCTTTTTTTGTTAGCTGTTCAGAATCTTATTTACCTGTGAGAAATAAACCTGTCTTTCTCTTTCCTTTTCAATTTTTCTTTTCTTTTTTGGTATTGGACACTGAACTCAGGACCTTGGGCTTGTGAAGCAGGCACAGCAGCACTGAGCTAAATTAAACCCCTAGCTCTCCTTTGCAATTTTTAATTGTGGCAAAATACAAATAACACATTTACTGTCATAAACTCAGGAGTAGTGGCTTGGGAGGCTGAGGCAGGAGGATCGCCATGCGTTCAAGGCCAGTCTGAACTACGTAGGGAGACCCTCTCTTAAAACCTCGCTTCTTCGCCCCCTTAAAAATTTACCATCATAGCCATTTTTGATGGTTGTCGTCGTCGTTCTTTGGTACTGGCAATCGAATTCAAGACCTTGTGCTTGTGAGGCAGGTGCAGCGCCACTGAGCTAAATCCCCAGCCAGATTTTTTTGTGGGGGTACTGGGGATAGAACTCAGGACCTTGCACTTGTGAGGCAGGCAGCAGAACCACTGACCTAAATCCCTGGCTCACGGATGTTTAGTGTATATACATATCGTCGTCGTTCTTTGGTACTGGCAATCGAATTCAAGACCTTGTGCTTGTGAGGCAGGTGCAGCGCCACTGAGCTAAATCCCCAGCCAGATTTTTTTGTGGGGGTACTGGGGATAGAACTCAGGACCTTGCACTTGTGAGGCAGGCAGCAGAACCACTGACCTAAATCCCTGGCTCACGGATGTTTAGTGTATATACATATATATAACCACTATGCAAAATGTTTTCATCTTGCAAAAACAAACTCTCGATCCATTAAATTTCACCTGGAGCTGGGCCTGGTGGCGCAGGCCTGTCATCCAGTACTCAGGAGGGTCACTGTGAGTTCAAGGCCAGCCTGGACTGCATAGCGAGACCCTGACTCAAATCCATAAGTGAAAGAATGAATGTCCCCCTTGTTGGGCCCCTGAAGGCCACTGTGTGTTTTCCGGATCTCTGGCCTCACCCTCTGTAGCTGGCTCCTGCCAGTTCCTGCTTTCCTGTGACTGGCGTCTATTCCTCAGTGTGACATCCCCAGGGCTCATCCAGGTTGTAGACTGCTTGAGACAGGCCTCCCTCTTTAAAGGCCGAGTAGTATTCTACTCTGGCTAGTGCACGCTCTGTCCACTCAACCCTTGGTGGGCCTGGGTCCCGGTCCCCACTTGGCTGCTGTAAGCACAGGAGTAGAACGCCCCTCTTTCAGCCCTGCTCACACCCTGACCAAGGTGCTGCTCTTCTGAGAACAGTGGCTGCACTATTTCCCGGTCCCTCGGGCAGTGCCTTGGCTTCGGTTTGTCCCCGTCCTCAGCTCTGTGTCCTGTCCTGGGACCAGTAAGCAGACATGCTCGGTGTGAGATGGATTTGCATTACAAGGTTTTTGTTTTTGCGGTGCTAGGACTTGAACCCAGGGCCTTCACACTGAGCTCCAGCACCAGGCCGTCCTTTTTGTAGGAGGCATTAATTGATTAATTTTTTGTTTTTTTTTTGAGACAGGGGTCTCACGTTATAGTTCAGGCTGGCCTTGAACTCACAGCGATCCTCCTACCTCAGCCTCTTGAATGCTGAAATTAGAGGCAGGTGCCACCATGCCCAGCTTGTTTTTTTTACTCCACCCCCCTCCCAGCATTGGGGATCAAACTCAGGACCTCGCACTTGTGAGGCAGGCCACCCTGCCACGGAGCTAAACCCCTGGCCCCCTGTGGTTTTTGAGAGATTATTTCACTGGCAGGGCGGGCTTGACTCAGGGCTGGGATGAGGGTGCACACGCCGGGCTCTCCGGGGTTTTCTCGAGCACGGATCGATCCTTACGTTGGCCTTTTCTTCCCGCTTTGTGTCCCGCTGACCTGCACCCTCCGTACCGCTCCCAGGTGACAACATGTACAGCTGTGAGCGGTGTAAGAAGTGAGTGTGCGTCCCCCTCACCACCGCGGGTCCCCAGAGCGCCTGCGCTTCCGGGCCACTGACGCTGGCTCTGTGTCCCCAGGCTGCGGAACGGCGTGAAGTACTGCAAGGTCCTGCAGCTGCCCGAGGTGAGGGGCGCCCCAGGGAGTGGGTCCCGGGCAGGGCGAGGCTGGCGGCTGGGAGTGGGCTCACTGGCCCCGTGCTCCCCCAGATCCTGTGCGTCCACCTGAAGCGCTTCCGGCACGAGGTGACCTACTCCTTCAAGGTCAGCAGCCACGTGTCCTTCCCCGTGGAGGGCCTCGACCTGCGCCCCTTCCTGGCCAAGGAGTGCGCGTCCCAGATCACCACCTACGACCTCCTGTCCGTCATCTGCCACCACGGCACGGCAGGCAGTGAGTGGCCCTGGTCGGGCGGCCCCGCCCCCCACCC